ATACAGTGAAACCCTTAATAACGAATACATCGGAAGAATTTATCAAATGTCGTCTTGACAATTTTTCAATGAGTTTTATACTATATTACGTAAATTTCAGTATTTGCGAAAATAAATAAATAGCCATGAATATGCGGGAACAGTTTTAAAGAGTTCCATATAATCATTTAATTAAAAAACTAAATATCTAAAACATTTCATTATCAGAAAGTGAAGAATACGACATTTGATGAATTCTTCCGATGTATTCGTTATTAAGGGTTTCACTGTATAAATTGCTTACGAAAAAATGCCGCAAAGATCAAAGACGATATACAATGTATTTTACAGGAACTGAGTCGGTGATTTAAAAAATTCAATAAAATACGACTCGGGTCTAAGCTGTCGTTGAGCCTTATTTACGGCTCGGGCTTTCGGATTTAAGTTGCATCTAATTTTTAACAGAGTTTAGTTCATTAAACCGGTTAAATGTTGTAGTTGGCGGATTTTCATAGCTGGAATTGGCGCATTCCGGGTTTTGATGAGAATAAGACCCAACATTGAGCCTTATTCTTCACTAAAACCAACAAAGGTCGGTTTTATTTTCATTGGGCCTAACTCGTTAAGTCGAGCCTAAGATCTCGCAGCTGTCAATCACGTGACACAAGCTGTCGTCAGAGTTGGGTTAAAGATTGGGTCTTAAAGTCGGGTTTAAGGAATTACGGCTCGAGCAGAAGCTTTTAAATCGCGGGCTCTGTAGTAATAATTTATTATGAATATTAACCCTCCATTAAAAAAGGGGTATGCCAATTGAAAACATTAATCTTATCTTTAATATGGAAGAGTTTGATTTTAACAATTTATCGAATGATGATTGTGGAGCAAGAAATTCGCAAGTCAATTTTTTAGAAAACCCACAAATGAAAACAATCAGTTTCTAAAAAAAGATATCAGATTAAAGTACCATTGTGAATCAGACATGCCACTCTTACACTGGAAGACCACGTGAAATTACAGTCCATTTCATTCCCATGAATTTTGAGACACATTGTATCAGGTTTATTTATAATTTAAAAACTCTTTAAACAATTTAAAATAAAATCTTACTTTGCTCGAGTTCAACCTTAACTTGATCCAGGAGACACTCGAGGAAAACATTGTTATGATCAACTACAGCTTTAAACTCTTCACTGTTCTCATCCCAACCTTGAAGTTGTTTATTAATGGAGTAATTTGCATTAAGAGTGAGACCCATATAGTTATGTTTTTTGTCTACATATCCTTTCAGGATCAAAATTTGCCATAGTGTCAGAGTTACAAATATTTTCTAAGTTTCTTTATTCTAAACATGACAGTTGGTTAATAGTTTTGAATGTCGTCTTCCATAAAGTGTATAAGAAATTAATTTTACTATTATATCCTGTATACTATTTTTATTAATGTGTTTTCGATTAAACAAATTAAAAAATTTTGGAAGAAGACATTCTAGACTATTTACCAACTATCATGCAGTTTCGTGGGACACCCTGTATGTCAATTTTGGTCCCTGACAGAAGATATGTGCACAAAACGACTGAAAACGATCCAAAATCGAATGTGTTGTAAGAATCGTTTTTCCATTTGTTATTATTTTAGGAAAAAACTTATTGCAAAGTTTAATAAAAGTCTTTAAATCTTGAAAGTTTTATTGAATTGTTTCTAAAAAAGATCTAAAACGATTGAGAACCCTCCAACAATAATGTGCTGTGTGATAGGAGCAAGATTTTTGTTGGTGAGAGTGGGGGAAGGATTTTAAATGCTTTTCAGCTTAAAAAACGGAGAAAATCCTCCCCCCCCCCGTCTCAACAATAACGTGTCACTTAGTTAGTTTCAGAAAGACGACATTTCCCGTAGATTAGAGCGCAATCAAAGTATCTTACCCTAATAAACAACCTTGGACAGGAGACAACTGTTAGGCTCTTAAGTTTTTATTTTGAATAGTCTAATGACCATGAAATGTTCGCGGTGTATAGCATGTAATGTTAACTGATTACTGAACCTGTTGCAAAGATAGGCCCACATGTTCAACCATTGATTTAAGGAAACACTGTTTACCACCAACTGCAAACAGAAATGATATTATTAAAGCGTCACAATTCAGGTTTGGGCCTAAAAAATAAGGATTGAAACAAAGACGACATTCAAGCATTCAAATAAGTTAAAATAATGGAATAATGAGATAAAGTTGAAAAGCAATATGCGACTGTTTGCCTAAAATATTGTTTAAAATACTTTTTATTTTCTTAATATAAAAGTTTATTTAAAATTTAAGTAGACCTGTGATCATTTTTAAACCCGTGATTTCCGTGGTTCTACTGAATTTCCCAATCGCGGCAAAGGGGTTAAAAAAATGATTTCGAACATAAAAACAAACAAACACCAAAACAGAGATTATTTCCTTATTAATTTCTAACTTCTAAAGTATTGCCTGCAAGTATAAATAAGAAATTAGAGTAAAGCCAATCTCACATAAATGAATACATATAGCAATAGCGCATGCAATTGATATTGTTTTAATAGTTTATGACAGCTGTTATGCTTCACCATTCTTCAAACTACTTAACTAATTATGGAAGAAGACATTTTAAACTATTAACCAACTGTCATGTTTCATGGGAAACCCTGTAGTTGGACACAAACAAAGAGATATGCATTGTGAGAAAACCTAAAATCTTCTTTGCATTTTTTGGAAGGTAAATAAAGGCCCAAAACCGAATAATATACAACACCACCACTGTCCAAAAAGATTAAATTCCTTTAAAATTTTAATAATTAATGTGGTAGATTTTTCTGTAAAATTATCATCGAATTTGATTAACAACAATTACCCATATTGATTAAAACACCATGTTGAAGATAAGGGTTGTTTTTCATGTTTACAAAGAAATGTCTCAAATGATTTAAAAGATTAAAGACGACCTTCAATTCGTCTTTCTACTGTCATGTTTCTTGGGACAGCCTACCCTGTATATGAAAATGTTACCTTCTGAGGCCTGAAAGCCTCCTCCCATGTCCTGTTCTCTAGTCCCTCTTGATCTAAAAATATAAAATATGCAAATTCTTTATATTCTGCAATGTGCATACATAAACTTACAAGATAAACTTGAGTTTAAATCTAAATAAAACGCAAAATAAACATTAACAGATAAGATTTTTTTTTTATAAACAATTTGAACAAAATTTGTAAAAAAAATATTAAAATCAGTTTGCAGATTAAGAAAAAACGATATCATCGATGCCAAGAAAATGCTGAAACGTTTTTGTTACAGTGAAACTTTTAATAACGAATACATCGGAAGAATTTATCAAATGTCGTCTTGACAACTTTTCAATGAGTTTTATACTATATTACGTAAATTTCAGTATTTGCAAAAATAAATGAATAGCCATGAATATGCGGGAACAGTTTTAAAGAGTTCCATATAATCATTTAATTAAAAAACTAAATATCTAAAACATTTCATTATCAGAAAGTGAAGAATACGACATTTGATGAATTCTTCCGATGTATTCGTTATTAAGGGTTTCACTGTATAAATTGCTTACGAAAAAATGCCGCAAAGATCAAAGACGATATACAATGTATTTTACAGGAACTGAGTCGGTGATTTAAAAAATTCAATAAAATACGACTCGGGTCTAAGCTGTCGTTGAGCCTTATTTACGGCTCGGGCTTTCGGATTTAAGTTGCATCTAATTTTTAACAGAGTTTAGTTCATTAAACCGGTTAAATGTTGTAGTTGGCGGATTTTCATAGTTGGAATTGGCGCATTCCGGGTTTTGATGAGAATAAGACCCAACATTGAGCCTTATTCTTCACTAAAACCAACCAAGGTCGGTTTTATTTTCATTGGGCCTAACTCCTTAAGTCGAGCCTAAGATCTCGCAGCTGTCAATCACGTGACACAAGCTGTCGTCAGAGTTGGGTCGAAGATTGGGTCTTAAAGTCGGGTTT